GTTTCGTGACCTCGTTAAGGGTTATAGTGGTGTCTTAGAGCCATGTAGTATCTCTAGAGACCGTTATTTTGTCTCTTACTTCCGCATTTTGGATCCATTATCAGGTCATCTTTCGGTTCATCACTGACGCACTGGGTTGATAAACTTGGGCCGTCACAACCTAGATCGATCATAAAGGTGCTCGGATTGATCAAATCTATAAATTGACAAAATATTTCGATTTTTTTTTTTTTTTGAATTTTAAAAATTTAAAATCATTTTTAATTTTTGAATTTTTTTTTTTTTTTTAAATTTGAATTTTAAAATGTCAAAGTCAACGAAAGGAAAACAAGGAACTCTGATCGATAGGAGGATGATTGATCAAAACTTGATCGATCTAAGATGTGAAAACCTACATACACATTCGAACAATAGACACAGAGATGATATTTTCAGAGATTTAAAAAATTTCTAAGTATGGAACTGAGATCGATCGAGGGAACTTGGAATGATCGAAGAAAAAGTTCAAATGATATACAGAGACCTGAAATATGTAGAGAATCTTTGACCGATGAAACATAGAAATGAGAATATACAGAGATGATGTTCGATCGATCGAATATCTCTTGTGATCGATCGAATAGGCACTAAATGCCTAATTTGAAGATGAAAGAGCATGTATTCCCCATCAAAGTCTCAACCAACATATATAATCTCAGATTGTATCTGAACGACGCAAGAAAAGAAAAGAAAATAGAAATGAGGGAGGAATAGAGTTGTGTTTAACGTCTCTAGCAAGATGTTGAGCTATTTTAGCCCGGATCAAAGATCTTAGTGTGTATCCCCTCCATAATGGGGTGCCCCCACCCAACAAACTATTCCCTAAGGAACTTGTTGGCTTTGATTCAACTAGAATTGATGGTCCGTGATTAACAAAATCTTTGGGCTTCCATGCCCTTTTAACACTTGACTTGAAAACACTTTCTTTTGAAAACTTTTTGGAAGGCAAAATAATTGATTGTTCAATACCAAGCAAAAACTCATTTTTGTCAAATTCAGTTCCAAGACATTTTTCAATAACACATATTTCTTCATGTTTGTCTATAGAATTCGAGGTTGGATTGAAAATGTTCAACTTCACCTTCATATGACCAAATGAAATTTTCATTATCCCCATCCTACAATTAACGTTGGCATTAGCGGTTGCCAAGAATAGACGGCCAAGGATAACGGGAATTTGGCTCTTGGGATTTGGGACTGGTTCCGTGTCAATGACAACGAAATCAACCGGGAAGAAGAACTTATCAATTTTGATCAAGACATCCTCAATAATACCCCAGGGCTTTTTGATGGATCGGTCGGCTAGTTGCAAAACTACCGATGTCGGTTTTAAATCACCCAAGCCCAATTAAACATAAACTGAATATGGAAGAAGGTTCACACTCGCTCCTAAATCAAGAAGAGCCCAGTTAATGACATGATCACAAATGATGTAATAAGTGGTAGGTGAACCGGGGTCTTTAAATTTTGGGAGGGTATTGTGTTGCAAAATGGAGCTTACTTGCTCGATCAAAACAACTTTTTTTGGTGCTTGGCCCTTGTTCTTCCTCTTAAGAGTGTAAAGATCTTTCAAAAATTTGGCATAAGCCGGAATTTGTCTAATTGCATCCAAGAGAGGAAGATTGATTTTCACTTGCTTAAACACATCAATTATCTCATTTGCTTTGCTTTGTTGTTTTTCAAGAGAATTGGATCCTTTTAAGGCATCCGTAAATGGAGCCTTAGGCTCAAAAACTTTTTCACAATCATTTTTCAAATCTTTCTCAACAAAGGGTTCTTTCACATGCAATGAATAAGCTTTTAGGATGTGAGACGGGATGGGTGTCAACTTTTGGTTGTACCGGTTCACTCTATTCATTTTGAACACCAATTTGATTATCAACAATTCTTCCACTTCTCAAAGTGGTCACCGCATTCACATGCTCAATTATGTGACCTTCCGAAGAGGAATTGGTCTCCACAACAAATTGTTGCTTGGGTGGTGGATTCAAAGGCATTTTCCCTTTTTTCCTAGCATTCAAGGTACTAGCTATTTGCCCGATTTGGGTTTCTAGCTTTGTAATTGATTGGAAATGAGAATGAAGTAATTGGATATTTGCCTCTAAAGTACCTAAAGCGGTTAAGACTTTCTCCTCAAATGCGGGACTCTTTGAATTCCCTTGAGAATATGAAGATTGATTTGGAAAGTGAGAGTTTGAAAATTGGTTTCCATGTGGTGCATGGTAAGATGATCTATAACCTTGGGAACATTGGCTTTGCATTGGGGGCGGAACATACTTGCCTTGGAAACCACTTTGGGGAGGGTTTGAGCCTTCCTCTTGGCTTTTCCAAGAGAAGTTTGGATGGTTCCTCCACCCGGTATTATAATGAGTGCCATAGGGATTATTCCCTTGGTTGACGAAAACGGCATTCACTTGTTCATGGTGTTCATTTTGCACATGTCCGTAGGGACAATTGGAAGTAGAATGTAAAATACTAGAACAAGTCATGCAAGATTCATTGGAAATATGATGAGTATGGCTAGGGGAGGAAGACAGTTGATTCACCAACTTTTGGTTGATTAAACCTTTAGGATAAAGACTTCACTTCGGCGAATATATCATTGGAATGGTCAACTTGATACAAGCCGACATTCTTCCTTCCACCTAGATTTCTACTATTTTTAGAGGATAAAGATCGATGTATTGAATTCTCACTCATGCTCTTATTCAAACGCCATACATCATCTTCATGCCTATCAAGATAAGAACCACCCATAGAAGTATCAACCATTCATTTATAATTATCCGACAAACTTTCAAAGAAAAATTAAACCAATTGCCATTTAGGAATGTCATGATGTGGACACTTCCTAAGCAAGTCATTTAAGCGCTCCCATGCCACGTGAAACATTTCTCCTTCCCCTTAAGAAAATTCTCGAATTGAAGTTCTCATTGCATTGGTCTTTGAAACCGGATAGTACTTTTTCAAGAATTCTTGTTGCATCTCTGCCCAAGAAGTTATCGAAAAAGGCCTTAAATTGTTGAACCAATATTTTGCTTTATCTTTAAGGGTGAAAGGGAAGAGTACGTTTTAACCTCAAAACCTCTTCCAGCATTTCCGTATATTTCACGGTGGAACACAATTCAAGAAACTTATCCAAATGCTTGTAAGGTTCTTCGCTTGGTAGCCCAAGGTAATTGGGAAGCATTTGAATTATTTGTGGTTTGATTTCATAATGGTGCACTCTAAATGGAGGTAACTGAATGCATGTTGGTGCATTATACTCATTTGGCACATAATGATCTCTCAAAACAAGAGGATGATTCACAACCGGTAGCGCTACACAAGCACCGTGATTTCCTTGAATAATGGGAGGTTGGGGTGGAACAAAATTTGGCCGAGGCATTCCTATTGAAATATGGCCTTATTGTTGTTGAATGAAGGGTCTAGGCATGCCTAATGGTACTTGAATATTGTCATGATGGTGATGCACATTAGGGTGAAGGATACCTTATTAGTCTATGTAACCAAGGTCCTCCACATGGTCCTTATTATGTTCCTCCATTGATGAAATGGAGTCACTAGATTTACCCATTCCCCTAGGATTACGAACAATGGATTCTAGATTCAAATTAAGTGGGACAAGAGTATGATTCAATGATCTACAACCATGCATGCACAATCAAAACAAACAACAAGCATGTAACAAACACTTCTCCTCCGCAATAAATCAATCAACAAACCTCCACATATATTGAACCCATACTCCCATGCTTTCAACAATATGCAAAAATAATAAATTGCCTCCACACAGGCTCACAATTTATCTAAGAAATTAAAACTTGCCTCTACGCGGGCCGACGATTTAACTAGAAAGAGAGTTAGAAAAGCTCACAAAGGGTCCTTAAGCAACTTCAAATTAGTTTCAACTTTGCCTTGCTTTGCTTTGCAATTTTTTTATATTTTTAGCTTTTTATGCTTTTGCTTAGCTTAGCTTAATTTGCTCCTTTTGCTTTAAAATCCTTTTACTTCATTTCATTTGCTCAATGCACTTAGACAATCAAGAACAAACACAATAAGTAACCAAAATGAAATAAAATAAAGACAAGATCAAAAAAGTACTAATTCCTAATTGATTCCCAAAATATAGCGTTGCCAATCCTCGGCAACAGTGCCAGAACTTGGTGTCGCCGATCACCGAAGCACAAAAGTGGTGAAATAATGTAATGTGGCCAAGTTTGAATTTATAGAATGTCACTACCACTACTAACTATTAATGTAGTTAGAGTAAGTAGGGATCGTCCCAAGGGAAAGAATGCGTATTTTTTGTTTGGAATCAATGTTGGATTAGTAGGTCGAATGATCAAAAGATGGTTTGTTGGTTGGATTAGACTACAATTTAAACTAAATAAATGCAATGTAAAACAACTAAAACAAATGAGGTGTAGAGAATATGAGAGAAGAGTCTTGGGACATAGAGTTCACCACTAAGCATAACCTTCCTAGACATTCAATATTTGATGGAATAGGGGAATTGTGTGCTGTAAATGAAAGTGTGTGCCATCAATTGAAATATCAAATATGGATGGCCAAGTAAGCATACATTGTCTAGTCAATCTAGTGACACTACAACATATTAGACTTTTACCAGCGCTCTTCTAAAGAGCGCTGGTATAGGTGAACTAATATCAGCGCTTTTGTAAGAATGCTGGTATAGGTGTTACAATACAAGCGCTTTGTAAAAAAGCTCTGGTATAGGTGTTACAGTACCAGCGCTCTACAAAGTGCTGGTATAGATGTTACAATACCAACGCTTTGAAAAAAAACGATGGTATTATACCGGCGCTTTAAATAAAAGCACTGGTATAGGACTCTTCCATTCCCTCCGGTTTTTCCTCTTTCCTCCAATTTTTCCCCTTCCCTCCACTTTTTTCCCTCCGCTTATTTATATATATAGAATATTTAGTGCCTAAACTGCGTCATTTTTTTTTGGGTCCATTAACACTACAACATTCCACTTTCCCCATTTCAATTTCATTTTGCCCTAGTTACTTCATCCGTCTCTCCTCTCTGCTCTACCTTATCGCTCTACTCTATCTCGATCGCTCACCTGCAAGACTCCCCTCTCTGAAAAATATTTTGCCTTTTGATTTCATCACCATCTCTCTCTGGAGTTCCAACCCTTATTACGTTTCTTTGCCGCCACTGCGCTTATATGTGCGTTGAGGTAACTCTGTGACTCTGCCTTCTATTGTCTGTGATTTCATTTTCTTGATTTTCGTTTTCTGGGTTATGAGATTTATGTCTGTACTTGGATTCAGATTACTTTATTGATTTATTTAGTTTCAATTAATTTTTCTGATTTTAGTTTGCAAATGGCTCTAAACTTCACCTAAAAATCAATTGGTTAGGTTTTCCCCTTTCTGTTTAGTCTATCTTCTATCTTATGTTTACCATTTTTTTTTTTTTTTTGGTAAATGAAAGCAAAAGGATCTTCTCTCGCAGAATTTGAAAGAAAAAAAAAGTTCATCTCATATACGTGATTAATTGCATTTGCATTTTTAGCACTAAGGTTTTAGTGTGTGTAAAATATGAATGAAGCATCAATATTCTCTATTTCTTTTTCTTGATTTAAAGCAACTTTGTGGAAGGTTTAAGGTTTTGGCCCAACCTTCCAGTGGGTACTTCAAAAGTTTCATTGTTCTTGTCATAACTCTGTCTCAATCTCTACTGCTCGATCTCCATTTCTCAGCTGAAGCCCTTGATTGATATTTGCTAACCCGCTCTATGTCGATCTCTCACTGCTCTATCTCGATCTCTCACTGCTTGATCTCCATCTCAGCTGCAAGACTCCTCTACCCTGTCTCGATCTCTCATTGTTCGATCTCCATTTCTCAGCTGAAGCCCTTGATTGATGTTTGCTAACCCGTCTCTCTTTCGGCATTATCTCATCTGAGATTACAAAGTTGAAGCCCTAGGCTTCTCTTCAGGCTGTCTCGATCTCTCAGCAATTTTTGAGCAATCCATAAGCAAATTTCTTTTTATAATGTTTTTTTTTCTTTTATGAAATGAATTTTTGGTTTGAAATTTTTTTTCTTTTATTTCCAAACGAATTTTTCATACTTAGTGTGTGTGTATATATATATATATAGTTGATCTTTTACTGTACATAAGATTTTTTATAATACAGACTTTGGTTAGGATTGTTTTAGTTTCTCTCTGCAAGACTATTTTGATGTTTGGTTGCTTTGGTTAGGATTGCTTTTTATATCTATATTCATATTTACATTAGCATTGATGTTTGACTTAACAATTAGGTTTAGAAAAATAATTCAAAACCACAGAACGGTCTAATTTTAATTTATCTACACATGTTGTTTCAAATTTTCTGATAATCAGTCACAGTCACCTTCTAAAAGTCATATATTACTAAAAAAATAAATTTAAAAAAAAAAAAAAGAAAAAGAAAAAAGAACACTAAACCAGCAAGTAGAGAAACATCAGTTGTGGGTTAAATTAAATTTAATTAAAATCACTTTTGAGATTGACAGTGAAAGTTTAATTATAATTCGCTCCTTAGAATCACTGATAGTTAAATATGTATATATATATACACACACACATATCTATTGTTGAAAATTATAGGAATGAAATAGGAAATTAAATAGTGGGAAGCTTTTTGCATTATAGGCTTAACTGGGGAAATATATTTATCTTCCTCGGTTGATAAAATTAAGTATTCCGCTAATTAAAGAGAAATTTACCCTCCAACATATATCTTTTCAGCCAGGATAAAAGAGCCCATGATTGCCACTATGATTATCATCAGAGGGCTGAAAGTAGTCACAACGACAAGCCCTCTTTTCTGCATGACCAGACCTTGTACATAGTATGCAATGCTTAATGACACTATACCCTGTAGGTCATTAAAAAGTTACTTTTTTTATATAGTTTAGTATTTCATACACACATACATATATATATATATATATATATATATATATAGAGAGAGAGAGAGAGAGAGAGAGAGAGAGAGAGAGAGAGAGGGAATGCTTACAGCATAGGTAGCAGCTAGAAGGTTCATGTCCCAGCCAATGGTCCAAACAGATAGATTGTGTTCCATGACAAAAGTGACAGCAATATTAAAGACCCAGATAAGGAATCCCACAAAACTGACTATATATTAAACTTATTCCTTATGAGTTTCATTAGTTCATTAATATATTATTTTGTAGCATGCACATGTACGCTTCCTATGAAAACTGATTTAGTTTTTTTGTGTGCTTATATATTTTTAATATGTTTTGATCTATTCTTGGCACATTATTGTATAAGTGCAATCAACGATTTTATCAAAACAGAATGGTTTTATATAATTTCCATTGGACAACCATAAATACCCTAAAGTTTTGAGGTATTTGTTATTTCTTTTTATTGGTTTTTCCAGGACCGCTTTTTTTAACAATTTGATTGCATTCTCTTAACTGAATTCTCACTTTTTTTGGAAGCTTTTCCAGGAAGGATAAATAATAAGCTGACAATGAAACGAACGGTTAGTGAAGTGGAAAAAGTGAGTGAACAAAATACCGAAGCTTCAACTTCAAAATCATCCCAACCACCGCCGAAGAAGAGACGAGGCCCGACATGATGCAAGAATGTCACAGACGCGACAACCTTATTACCTTTAAGGTACATATATATATATAGATCATCTTATATAGTTTACATAATTAAACTATATTCAATATGAAGGAGAAAAAAGGATTTATATCTTTTTTTTTGTACTAAACATCTACAATTGTTAATTTTTGTTTAGGGTTAATAAGTTTAGACAGCCGATCGATCCTGGAAGTGGTACATATACTAATTATTTGGGAACACTTGCCCGGAAGGGTAAATTAGCTCCTTTGTGCTACAAAACTTGGTGGGAGATGCCTAAACGGCTGAAGGAGGATATGTGGAACATTGTAAAAGTAAAACCCTTCAATAACATTAAAATAATTTTTATGGAAAAAGTGGACTAACATACAGCAATTATCACATTTTCAGGAAAAATATGATGTGGGAATCATTTCAAAATAGTGGACATTATCCTCCATCGAAAAAAAATGGAGGGGGTACAAATGTGAATTAAAAAATGAATACTACTCAGTTAGGGATACAGATGAAGAAAGATTGGCAACCCCACCACCTAATGTTGAAAAGGAGCATTGGGAATTTTTGGTTAGGCATTAGGGTACGCCTATGGCGAAGGTAATCCTCCATCTATCACAATGTTTTTTTGAAGTCAATGAGTTGAATTTATAGTTTACCTGCTTTCAGTCATTATTTTAGGTGGAATGTTCTTTACTCAAAGAACGTTTACTTTTTCTCACTTTTTGTAGGAGGTCAACAAAAAAAATAAAGAACGTTGTGGGAAGCAGACAATGATGCATACTACAGGAACAAAAAGCTTTGCACGTGTTTCTGCCGAGGTTAGTTGAAGTTTTTATGGAAAATATAAATTATTTCAATTCTTATGTCGTTGAATGATTATAAATGTTAATGGTAAATAATATATATCACAATGTCTATGTTTCTTTTATAGATTGAGGAAGACGAAGTTATTCAGCTTTCTCGTGCAGATTTATTCATCCGCACACATGTAAATAAGGATGGCAAAGCTACTGATGCTGCTACTTCGGAGATGATTGTAAGTTTTCACCCTTCCATTTTGCAAAAAAGGGGTCATGTGCCTTAAAGTGACCAATTTTTAAACTCTTTACGCTGTATTAGGGGGTCACGTGCCTTGAAGTGACCAATTTTTGAATCATCAGCCCGTGTGGAGGCAATTTACTTTCTTGTATTTGTTGAAAAGCATGGGAGTATGGGATCATTGTATGTGGAGGCTTCTTGTTGATTGATTTGTGTTGTGGAGGAGAAGTATTTGCTATTTGTTGTTTGTGTTAATTTCTTACTCATATATTGTGGCAATGGTCTTTTGAATGTAGACAACTTCAAATATTATATACAAGCTATGTAAAGGCCACTAAACACTTCTTTATGATCTATAAAGTACCCTATGGTGGTCCAAATGGACCAAATGTCGATGTAGGATAAGGAAGAAACATTAACAAAACATTATAATGACACTCTTTTTGGAGTGAAGTCGATGAACTGCCTCCACCAAGTGCCCACCGATTTTCCCCTAAACCCATTTCCACCCTGTTCATCTTCCTTTGAAACTCAAATCTGCAATGAGTAATCAATAAGAGAGAGACTTACAAATGGAAGCATGTAAAAGCTAGAGCTAAGGGCGGATCTAGGATTTCTCAATGGGGTGTGCTAAATCAAAATATATCAACCAAATCAACTTCTATTTAATTCAATTTTAGTTAATTAACAATATTTCTTTAGACAATTAACTGATTAAGGACTATCTCTTCTTTTGACCAATTAACTACTTTTGCTTGTCAAAGTTCTTGTTGTGATTTTTTTTTCAGTTCTGAAAAGATTTCCGTCTTCAAAAAGCTTGGCATGTTGATAAAAATTATTTCAGATTCAATCTCTGCATATTTCTAATCCAATTTAGATTCTTTTTTTCTTTTTCTTTTTTCATGCCCAGATTCAAATTTTCTTGTAGACATATATAATGGACAACAAAAAAGAAATAAAAAATAATAATAAAACAAGAATAGAAGTTATAGAAATTAATTAATATATATTTTTTTTTACTGAAATAAAAAGTAGATTGCAGTGATTACCTCGAAATGCAATAAATTTTGTTACTTTATATTGTAAAAAAAAAAATTAGATAAAGAAGATCATAAAAAATTTCACCAAATAGGATTTAGTTTGCAAAACAAGAATTACAAAGCCTGATTAGTTGATTTAGAAAAAAAATTTAAAAAAAACCCATACATACAAGTTAGCAGTTGCTTTTCCTCTGACTCTCTGACTCCCTCTCTCCAAGGGCAAGGGTTGATATTTGTGAAGCTACATTCATCTTTTCTCTATTTACTTCATTTAAATCCTTTTGTTTTTGTCATGAAAGCTTAGGTATATATATATATATATTATACATACACATGTATATTTAAGCATTACATGTTCATAGCTTGTTGGGATTTCAGTTCTTTTATGCTTTATTTAGAATCTAGGGTTTTAAAAAATACTTCCCAACCTGTGATCAAACTTATAGAGCATACCATGATATGCTATAAACAGTACAACCAGAACAATATCATTGCAACAATAGAGCAACATAACTGAAAAATTAGCAGCTGAATTTTTAAAATAGAGAAAATAAAATAAAGTGGTAGAGTTCAGACTTCAACTAGAACTGAATGTTCAGATTATTCTACTATATGCTCAAATAATTGGCGCTTATGTAGTCTCTCAATAAAATACCTATTTCCAGTCAGAATATTTGAGGATATGGTGGATTAGTTTTGGCTTTACATTGAAAATTTTGTTGAGACAACTGACTAAGAAATACAGTCATTTTCCGGATCACTGAACAATTTGTCAGCAGTTACCCAACTTGACAATTCTTTAGAAACATCACTGCATTGTATCTTTGTTTTCTACATAATCCAAAACTTGATGCCTCATTTTTCTTTTTCTTAATAGGATATAGAAACAAGATCTGTGATTTGTTTAAACATAGATAAGAACATTTGTAATTATATAATTTACAAGGAGAAAAGGAAATAAAAAAATAAAAAACAGATTTGGTGACATTAGAGGAGCCTTAATGGTAGATTTCAAATTACTCAAATGTGGATTTGAGTTTAAGAAGCAATTTTGTTCAAATTATGACAAATGCTAGGTCTGTACTCAATCTAATTGAAAGCAGCCTTTAAAACAAGTCCAAGATTGAGTACTTAACAAAAGTTAGGTAGAATGTAGATAATAAAAACTTTTTGAAAGCTAAATTTACATATAATGGAAAAGCTAAAAATACAGTACATTACTCTAATATTGCTGCAGTTTTACAAACATGGTATCCCAATTTCCAAACACAACCTTCTTCTAAAGGAAGCCATTTTATCACCTGATTTTCATCGGAAAAGATGAATGTTCAAGTAATTGAGGATTAAAAATGTCACCTAATAAAACCCCAACCCCCACCCAAAAAAAAAAGGAAAAAACAAAAAAAAACAAGTGTCTCTTAGGGGTTGTTACACGGATCCTATCTCTGCATATTTTGAAGCTTTAGAGATTGTATGAAAGTTCAAAGGGATGTCACAACTATATTTTCACATTGTGTGATGCACTGTTGTTCAAGAATACTTGGCTTTCGTCATTACCAATTTGTTATCTAATTACTTTTCTGTTCAGCTGTTTCTGCATTCCTGTTCTATCATTTCATTAGATTTGTCTGGATGTTTTATAGCAGTATGTCATGGTAGTTCAATTTTTTTTTTTTTTTTTTTTTGGCAGGAAAACATAAGAGAATTTCAAAAAAGTTACTCTGACTCGCCTATTAGCAGTTCCAATGATTTGTTCTCCATTGTGAGGGGAGAAGAGAGAACTGGTTGTGTATGGATGCTTGGCTTCGGGCCTACACCAAGCGATGTATGGGGGCCCTTTCCTAGTAAAGCTGAACTGATTAATAATGTCAAAAAATCTCAGGAGGAGGCACGTGTTGCATGTGTAGAGTTGCAAGAGACGATTTCAAAAATGCAAGCCGACTATGACAACAAGTTGGAAAATTTTCAAGCCAACTACAACGACAAGTTGGAAAATTTACAATAACAGGTGGCTATACTAATACAGATGCAACAACAAAATTGTAGTGGACAGGTATATTTATTATTAATTTTACTCTTTACTAAATATATGTTTACTTATGCCAAGATTTCATGTATTTTGTTTTGTTATTTTGAAGGGTTCTGATTCTTTAAATGCTCCTCCTAGAGTATCCCCAAATTCATTTTCTAGTCGTGATGCCAATTCAATTAAGGTTATGAACTTTTAATTTCTCTTTTATATATGTTAAATTTTCATTTATTATAATGTGCGCTTAATGAATTTATAAAAAATGTAGGGTAATTCAAATCAAATGGGCAATCAGACTTGTTGAAGTTGAAGCTGAAGATGAGGTCATGGCTGTACTTTCTGAATATCCTTTCCCTTGGATGGGTCCTTATTGAAAAACTTGTACTACATTTGTCAAAAATTCTTAATTCTTTTTGTATGACATTTAGTAGCTTTATCTAGACAATTTGGATGGTATTTTCATATTGACAGGTTAACTTGTGGTTGTATTAGTATACATTTTGGCTTTTTGGTTGACATTTACCAGCTTTATCAATCAATAGCCAATTTCGATGGTATTTTTCATATTGGCAGCAGGTTAACTTGTGGTTGTATTATGTAAAAACAATTTGGATGGTATTTTTATATTGATTTGTGTTATATTGGATGACATTTAGTAGCTGTAAAAATAAAAAGTAAAAAATAATAATAATAATAATAATTATTATTATTATTATTATAATTAAAATGACCGCTTTACCAACTCTTGTTCAAAAAGTGCTGGCATAGGGGGAAAAAATAAAAATAAAATAAAATGACCCAAATACCAGCGCTTTTTCAAAAAGCGCTGACGCATGGAAAAGAAAAATAATTTAAAAAAAAAATTAAAATGACCTCAGAACCAGCATTTCTTGAAGAAGCTCTGGCATAGGGGAAAATAAAATAATAAAAAAAAAAAATTAAAATGACCCCAGTACCAGGCTTCTTCAAAAAGCACGGGCATAAGGGAAAAAAAATAATTAAAAAAAAAAAATTTAAATGACCCTAGTACCAGGCTTCTTCAAAAAGCGCAGGCATAAGGGAAAAAAAATAATTAAAAAAAAAATTTAAAATGACCCCAATACCAGCGCTTTTTGAAGAAGCGCTAGCATAGGGGGAAAAAATAATAAATACAAAAAATTAAAATGACCCCTGTACCAGCGCTTTTCGAAAAAGTGCTGGTAAATACCCTATGCCAGCGCTTCTTCAAAAGCGCTGGTACAAGGTATTTACCAGTGCTTTTGAAAAAGCGCTGGTAAAGCCCTACCGACGTAGGTTTTATTAGCGTTTTTTAAGGCTTTTACCAGCGTTTTTAAGCGCTGGTAAAAGCCAGATCTGTTGTAGTGTGAATAGTATAACATATCAAATTAAGTCATTAATCCTTCTATAAGTCCATAATTAATGCACATTCATCAAATTAGATAAATATACTACTTGCATTCATAAGCATAGAATATCAAACAACAAGCATGAATTGTCCACCTATTTAAGAAAGTAGGGCAATTAGGCTACAACTAAGTTAGTGACATGAAAATTAAACTAATTAAACTAAGGAGGTGGCACAATCCATCAAGAAATAAGTATGAACCATTAAATAAACCAAAAGAGTAATCTATTTAAGCACTATGCCTAGATTCATAATATTAACACACATAAACATGCATCAATGTCACAAAATATAGAGATACGCACATGAACATTTATTCTAGCATATATAGACATATGGATAGAATTAAATGATCAATTGAAAGTATTAAACTATACAAATCATTGTAGAAACAAAATATATATATATATATATATATATATAAGATGTCAAGACAAGAATTACAACACAAATCCCCATTAATTACAAAACATCAAAGTCTAGGAGGCATACTTAGGGCTATCTCTAGCCCCAAGAGAATGGTTTAGCCACTTATTGATGTTGTTATCCAACCCTCAAGGGCTATCTCTATGGTAGAAATCATCCTCCTCCTCTGGTATTCTTGGTAGAAACCCTAGTTGAGTGGAGGAACTTTCCCAAATTGTATATTTCTCCCTCTAATTTCTAGCCTCTTATCAAAACCTAATCAACATCTTTACTCAAAATAGCCAAAATCCTTATATAGGTAGCTCAAATGTCACACCCAATGGTCAGACCTCGTGCACTAGGACATCTAAATGATTGCACCACGAGCACACATTTTATTTGGCTGGAACTTAGTTTTTCATGCATTTGAGGCAATTCGATCAATCACAAGGTTGCTCAGATCGATCGAACTATAGTGGCGCACTTTTTGATAAGGACAAAGTTAAGATATTTTGGGGTTATTTTTGGGAAAAGGACAAAAGTGATAATGAGGATAAGATCAAAAGGGTTCGATCGATCGAAGGAAAGGTTGGATCGATCGAAAGGGAAATTTTCTTGAAGATAAGGACAAAAGGCTCGATCGATCATAGTATGGTTGGAACGATCATAGAGTGATCGATCGGAGCTTGGTTCGATCAATCGAAGAAGGCTTCTTCACCACTTTGCTTCTTTCTTCTACTAAACTTGAGATTGCTTCTTTAAATGCTCTAATTCAGCTGAATTGACTTATTTTGGGGATAAGTGCCTGAAAAGGGAAATAACATGAAATTAGATTAAACGGAAAAATAAGATAGAATAAGGTCTCAGAACATTCAAACTTAAGGGGTTTAAATGTGCACTTTTTAACGCTTATCACCTGGGAGGATCTTTACTCTGCATCTTAAGAGATGATAGAATTGAGAGTTTTGAACAATCTTTGTTAGGTGCAATCCAAGCAGATACTGACAAGCAAATTGTTTTCTTTAATGCTGTCCCAAATTTTACAGTCGGCATTAGAGATGCTCATGAAGCATTGAAAGCCACGTTATTAACTCATGGGATAAATTTTAGAAAAAATAAATTCAATCTCACAATTGAATATTGAGTGTATTATAAATTAATGTAATCAAATTCTCCGAGAAGTTTACTTTCTCAATCCAGGAGAAAAACAACTTTCATCCAAACTAAGGCCCAAAATCACATGTATCAACCCAAAATCTCAACTTAGAATGAAATTCAATTTCATGAAAGATGGAAACTTACCGAAAAATAAAAACAAAATGAATCTTCAGAGCTATCAACTAGTTATGAGACACTAGATGGTGACATAATCCTGAAATTCAAAAAAAGGAAAAGACCTTAGTATTCCGAGCAGTTCAGGAATGCCAACAGGAAATGAATTCTTAACTGAGAACTTCAAAACCTTTAAGGAAGGAGAAACTCTAGAAAAACTAAAAAAAGAATTTGAAACTACAAGAGATGTAAAAAGATTAGAATATTTGATTAATATAATTCAAACATGGAATCAAGAGAATGTTCGAGTTACCTTCACTCCTAATGAAGAGACTAGTGGAGTAACTCAAGAAATTCAAAGTCAATGAGTCATATTTTAGGAGAGCAAGAAGTAGAAAAAGCCAAGAAAAATAATAATTAATCTATCAATTAGCGACATAAGCAAATTTGAAGAATACACTTGTGAATTTGAAAAATATTTTTACAAGACAGGAGATCCAAATAATGAAATGTACAAAAATATCTACATTCAAAAGTTACCACCCCCATGGAATGATGAGATCAAAAGAAAAATAACTACTCGATGACTAAAACATAATAGCCTTGAAGAAATCATGTCAGTAGCTCGAGAATTCCTTTAGGAAGCTTGTATAAATAGTAAACTACAGTGACAAGCTCGTAGACAATTAAAGGGGAAGTCAAACTTTTGTTATGGTCTTTTTGATATGCCAACCCAGTGGGGATGTGAGGAAAAAACATATAGAAAGAGGAAAAAAAAATACATTCCAAAGAAAAAAAATACGACCACTTCATGTTGAGGTCATAATTGCATCACCAGAATGGGATGAAATATATTATTATCCCTCGATTCATCTTATAAGACTGCACTCAGCACCACAATGGTTGGGAATTATCGTAGATGATAACAAGCTAAAGGAGAAAAAGCCCGAATACATGAGTGATCATGATATTCAAGTAAATCGAGCAGTAGGGATAACTATAATCCAGAAAAAGCTTAAAGAATCATGGACACCAAGAGAAAAGTGGACCACCATATTTTATAGCGAAAGGATAATAATTCAAATTTCAGCATTCAAAAATGAAGAAATTTTGAATTAAGAAAAGCCATTAAGCAAGGCAGGTTAGTAACCACTCAAGAAACCAAGGAAGTAATCGAAGCTATGAATAGCGAAATTGATTATCAAATAATGAATTATGGCATTGATGTCATGGATGACGATGATCAACTAGATGACATTGGAAACCAAAATCTAGACAACATGATGGAGTATTAACTATCCTCCACCATATCAACTTTCCACCACAGCAGATGCCTTCCAAAGAAGAAACAACTAAAAGAAAAAACATCTTAAAAAAAGTACAGGCTAGAAAGAGTATCAATTTGTAATAAAGTTAGATTCGAATTTCAAATCCGAATTGAATTTTAGATTTGTTTCAAGTCCGGGGTCTATAAAAAAGGCTCTTAAGGCATTTGTATGAGGCATCAAAAGCCAGAGAGTGAGATTTATTTTTATTTTTATTTTTTATTTTTATTTTTATTTTTTATTTTTCAAGTTTGTGTATATTAGTGTTTTTTTTTCAAGCTTTTGTGTAATATTTAAGTGTTTAAGTACTATGTACTAAGATTTTTTTCAATGAAATAAGTCTTTTCATAAACTCATTCAATGAAAACCTTGAAGTAATATTCCTTTTGGTTCTTATATTCTATGAATTTTTATTCCTTATTCGTTAAACCAGGTGAGCCATTGGTGTTGATAAAAAGGTGTTCTAAACAGTTCTCCAGTGGAAAAAAGTCCAGTCAAGTGGTAGTTGTTAACCTCGGAACAGAAGAATTCGAAAGAACTAGATGATAACTTTTTAAAACTTAGTATATTTAATATTTTTATGTAGTAGGGGCATATATTAGATCTATTTCATGTTTTAAAACTATTATGTTATGATAGTTATGTTTTGAGTTGTTACAGTAATATAGATTGTTGCATGGTCCAAACTAAAAAATAACTTCATTATTTAGAAATACTTTGTGTGGTACTCCCATTTATTATTGTTTCATTGACCTTGACTTCATGAGACTGTACCCATTAAGCCCATTTATCCCTAATTTTTACAATTCAATTGGATGCGCTGTACAAGGAGCTGGTCCGGTCCAATCTAGTTATTACATTTCCCAGTCCTGACAGATTCTAGAGAGAGAAGAGGTCTAGGGTTCAATTTTTATTTTCTCGGGAAAACAGAAAGTGTGGTGCGCTAGAAAGTGGAGGAATGAGAGAGTGAGAAAATCAGGTGGTGTGGAGATTGAAAGCTTCGATCGAGAGGTGAGTGTGGACTCCCTCTGATCGTGACTTGTGTCTGTCTGGTCGAGTCCCAACATTTTTTGAGGGAATTTATGAGCTCGCGATCCCCAAAATCGGTACAGGTAGGCCAAAGTCGCCCAAAATTTAATTGTTACCCTTTTTATGCCTATGTGCCTTTTTATGCGTATGTGTGTGTATATATATATATATGTATATATATCATATATCTACTTGTTTGATTCTATACTCTTTCTCTGACATCGGTTGTATTAGGTTTTTGTTGGTATGTGTTGCAAACTCTGCCTTTCTTGATGAAACTCTGCATTTCCTATTTCTTGTTCTCAAAACATAGAACATTTTGGTGGGTTTTAGAAAATGAGACGTTTGCTTGTGATTATTTTTGTTTTATGTCACATTTGTTTAATTTCTTTCGTTTGATATTAACATTCGGTTGTTTTAGTTCCAAAATCTAAACTTGAACAATTTTTTGCTTTTTTTTGGTTTGCCAATTTGAAGGACTTGATAGTAACATTATTGCTTTATTTTTTGTTGAATTTTTATTTGAAGTATTTAAGATCTTAATGAGTTGGATGGATAATGCCGTTAAGTTTGCTCTGCTGCTGGTGCTCCTTGGATACGGTATGTTGTATTAAGAAATCGTTTTTCTTTTTTCTAGGGTTCTTCATTTTGATAATTACTTTCAGGGTGGGAGAAAAATGAATTCCAGGTGTAGCTATTTTTCTGTAGTTAACTTTGGAAGTTGTTTTTTCCTAATCAATTTTCAGTTTCCACCACAATAAATGCCTCTCCTAGAAAAGGTGAATTTGAGCACTGTGAAAGTATTGTCAAGAATTGGGCATCTTATTCCCTTGATTTAGAAGTTAAAGAAGATAAGCATGTACTGCGCGATTTGCTATTTTTCCTTCACGTTCCTAGAACAGGAGGACGAACATACTTCCATTGGTAATAGTATACTAATATGATCTGCAATATTATTTCTTTCTTCTTAGTATAAAAAGCCTTGCTTATGGTGGCATTTATACTGGCAGTTTCTTAAGAAAGTTATACGCTAGCACTCTGGAATGCCCCCGATCTTACGACAAGTTGCGGTTTGATCCCAGGTATCTCTTCAATTGTAATTTTATTATCGCTACATGTTATTGTTGGCACACTTGTCCAAGCTTCTCAGAGCTAGGCCATGGTATGTGTATTATCATTATCACCTTGGATAAATAATCGTATTACCCACAATTGTTAACATTCTCTTGATCCAAATCCTTGTGATGATGTATCTTCAATATGTTTCGAACTTTACTAGAAAACAAACAATGACCAAAGTTGAAATAATTTTAAATTGATCATTCTTTTAAGCGATCACTTTTTTATTTTATGAGTAGTAGTTTTATTCAAGTTGTGCTATTTATTTATTCTCGGAACAAGTGCTATTGAAATGTTTGGTGTATTTCTTTTTCTTTTACAACTAACATTTTAAGTTTTTAAATGAGTTCATGTAAGAATTCACTCCACCACATGGTATGATATTGTCCGTTTTGGGCCTGGTCTTGCACGGTTTCTGTTATTGGGTTTTATCTCAAAAGGCCTCATACAATTTAGAGATAGCTCTAGCTCATATGAGCACGTCACCTTCACCTTACCTAGGCGATGTGGGATTGTGCAACCTATAGCTCGCCTAGTGTCTCACACCCACCCACATAGGTCGCCACAATCACCCCCGTAAAGGGACTCAATGTCTCTTTGGCCACACTTCAAGCTGAGCTCTGACTCTAATACCATTTGTAACAGCCTACTCCACAACATGGTATGATATTGTTCGTGTTGGGATTTGTCTCAAATTCCTACTCTAATTATGTTTCTATTTTGGTGTTGTATTCTGTATAGTAATTTCTTGTTTGACAAGTCTTGACCTCTAAGAAATTGTAATCCTTGTCCAACAAGGAATTGGGTTTGGAACTCTGTAAATAGATACATAGTCTTTGGGTTGAGACTTATGGGATTGAGAGAGATGTAGTCTCGTGAGGGAATTAATGGGTAGAGGTAGTATGCGGGTTGGTAGAGTAGGAAAAACACCGGTGACACTGTTAGCGAGGAGATAGGCTCGTGAAGTGGTACATGGTGAAAAGACATGTACGTGGTGTTGGTACTCTATTGTTGTAATATCTCTACGAATCATAGTGGAATCTCTTCTCATCCATGGACGTATGGACGTATGCCGGTTTTGGCTGAACCATGTATATCTTGTGTTTGTGCGTGATTGCTTTGTTGGCTTTCATTGGATTTTTGTATTCGCGCGCTTTTGCTTCCCTAACAAATTGGTATCAGAGCCAAAGGTGAAGGAGATCAAAAAAACACAAAGAAGTCTCAATATGTGCTGCAACGGGCTTTAGTTGTAGGTGGAGTCAATCGGCTTGGTTACATGGCATGGAGCTCTAGTAATCAAGGTGGAGCGTTTGAGGGTTGATTGATCGAGCAACGTATAATGTGGACAATCGGAGTTTTGTAGGAGTATCGTCAAGATTGAAGTTGCAAAAGAATTTTCATGGTCAATGCCATGGGAAGCGATGATTGGCTGGATGAAATTTGAGCCAAGGCGGAGATTGTTGGGATTTGTGTCTCAAATTCCTACTTGAATTATGTTTCTATTTTAAAGTTGTATTCTGTATGGTAATTTCTTGTTTGGCAAGTCTTGGCCTATAAAAAATTGTAATCCTTGTCCAATAAGGAATATGGTTTGGAACTCTGTAAATAGATACATTGGCTTTGGGTTGATACTTATGAGATTGAGAGCCTTTAACAACTATGGACATCGCAATTAACAAACATACGATGATGTTTTGCAAGATGAACTGTGGAGACCTATATGGGCGACTACGAGACACTGGGCGAGCTACAGGTAGGACAATCCCACATCGCACGGGTAAGGTGAAGGTGAAGGTGAAGGTGAAGTGCTTATATGTGCTAATGTTATCTCCAAATGATATAAGACTTTTGGGGGTAAAACCCAAGAACAAAAAAGCTCAGCCCAAAGCGAACTGTTGGGGAAGCGGAAGCACGCGGACACAAAAAATCCAATAAAAGCCAACAAAGCAATCACACATAAACACAAGATATACATGGTTCAGCCAAAACCAGCATACGTCCATGGATGAGAAGAGATTCCACTATAATTCGTAAAAATATTACAACAATAGAATACCAACACCACGTACATGTCTTTTCACCATAAACTACGAGCCTATCTCCTCGCTAACAGTGTCACCGGTGTTTTTCTTGCTCTACCAACCCGCATACTACCTCTACTCATCAATTCCCTCCAAGACTACAAAGCGCAAAGGCCTCCTGGAGCCTGAGGCGCAAGGCGAGGCGCGCACCTGACTGAAGCAAGGCGCACGTTGAAAAAACCAGTTATTGGTGTTGCAACAAAATAAACCAGTTCAAAGCAATATTAACATTTCAATTTAATAAAAAAAATACAGAGCTTTGAAAAGAAGACATGGAATTCATTAAAAAAAAAAAAAAGCAGATTGCTTTCATAAATTTCAATGTGGGACTGGGACCATAAATGTACATTTGCATTTAGCCCTCTCTCAGCTAGCATCTTTTGTTAGCTCTTTTTTGGGTAATTTTGTCTATGTAGGTATTTGTCGCATACAAAATTGTTTTGTATACATTATATTTGTAATTACATTATGTTTAATGACTTTATATACCTATTCTTTTTTAATATTATCACTCTTTAAACTATGGCCTATAACATCATTATTTTTAAAATTTTCACAAATTGAAAATAATTCTAGAATCCTTTCAACAAAACAGCCATTTGAAAAATTGTACGTTACAAAATGACATGAATTTAGGAAAGGAGAAAACTATTTTTAAAATTATTGAATTGAACCAATTTTATACTCTATAGTTATATCTATATATATATCTATACTTTTCAACATTATTTTCTTCCCAGCCAAATGGTAAAGACTTACTGTGAACATATGGTGCTTCAAAAAGATGTCGACAGATATAGCTCCACAAGTTGCGGCAAGAAAAGGGAATAGAATTGATATAGTGTACATCAGTTGTAAGTTTGTAACTTGGAAGTTACAAACAGGAAGCATAATGCAACAAAAAAAAAAAAAAGAACATATATATATATATATATATATATAAGAAGGCTGATTTTGAGGATCAAAGAGAACGAGGTGAGTGATCAAAGAAGAAGAAGAAGAAGAAGGAGAGAGAAAAGAGGAGAGAGAAAAGAAAAGAATTATGCCGAGAGAAGAAGAAGAAGAAGAAGAGAGAGAAAAGAAGAGAGAGAAAAAAGAGATAAAAAGAGAGGAATTCTGCCGAGAGAAGAGAGAAGAAGAAGAGAGAGAAAAGAAGAGGGAAGAAGGAGAGAAGAAGAAGAGAAAAGGAGAGTAGAAGAACTTACTGTGAGAGAAGTCGGCAGATTCGAGAGATCCGGCAGATCTTGCGGCAGATCCTCTTTGCTTCGCGTTCGCAAGCCCTAGCCCTCTTTCCTTTTGCTCTCTCTTTCCTTTTTCGTCAAACCAATTTTGACTTTCCTTTTGCTTTTTCTTTTCTTTTATCCTTTTTTGTTTTGTAAAGTTCTCTAGATAGTAATAATAAACAAATACCAACAATAAATAAAAGGCAAGTTTCAAGCAGGCACGCCTTTGACGCGCCTGTAGCCTTGCGCCTCAGGAACAAAGGTGCGAGCCTATACAAAGCCAGTCACCTTAGGCCCTTACAGGTGACAGGTTGGCGCCTGTAGGCGCCTTGCGCCTCATTCGCGGACTATGACGATGTCTATTCTTGTATGATTATATGCTCTCCCCCATCTTGTGCCCCTTAGGTTGAACTTTGATGATTTTTCTTTTTAAAGTCTCGTCCAATATTCATCGGGAAAAAAATATTTTTGGAAATAGTTGTTGGTGCTCTTTGGGGGGACCATGGTGGCAACGCCTCGGTCTTTAAATTAGTTGTCTTTGAAGAGTTCATTAATGCTGAATTCTGTTATTTTTTTTGTTTCCTTGACCTCTTTGCTTGATATCTGTTCAAAAGGGCTATGTTTGTGTCAAATACGTTTTGGGTACTTGCACTTTTTGGAGCTCTGAAGTCTGAACACGTGGTTTGTACAGTTTAGATGTGTAAATAATTTATAGTATCAATTGAAGCTTGTTGGACTCAAATAAAAACTTTTTGTAAGTTTTTGATTGATGGAGACTTTGATTGTACCATTCTGTTTTATGAAAAAATACGCGCTTGGAAATTTTGTGTGATTCACTATAAATATTTTGATCTAAGACCCTAATTTTGAAAAGCATGTTTAAAACAATATTTTGAGCCTTTTAAGGATCATACTTAGGTCATGAATAGTCTCTAAGGTTTCATCTTACCTTGACCTAGATATGTGATTGAGCTTGAGAGATTTTCAGCATTTTCTTCGATCTTCATCTCCATTATCTTCTTTCGGTTGTAGACAATGGTTAATGACATTTCACACAAGTTAATACCCTAGTTTTGAGTAGGAACTCAATAACCTAACATCCTCTCATATGGTCTAATGGCAATCTCATTTTTGACTAGAAAATTTTCTTATACTTTAATCCATAACAATTTTCGCATTGAACCAACAAATACTTGTATTTTTGAGTTACATAGAGATCATTAGAACTTTCTCTCTAATTCATATTGTCATAAATCACATTTCTTTTGAGTAGACAAAGCTGCAGAATCTTCCTCTTCTGCGGGAGACAAATTCCCTTCAACTAGCATGGGTTTATGGATAACCCCCTTGTCTTTGTTTAGCTGTATGTAAAAGATGATAGTTACCTTTTGGAGAGCCTCTCGCTATACCTTAGTTAGATGAAGTCTCTCTCTCTCTCTCTCTCTTGTCAAATAAAATATTGTCAGGTGTTCACAACTCTTTTATTAAAGAAAAAAGATTGAAAATCTGTCTATTTTAAGACTAACATGTCCATTTTTTTTTTTTCTAAGTTTGATTTAGCATTGGAAGTACCTGTTTAATTGCTTCTTCATTCAAAAAAACCCTAAGTTACCTTTTGGAAAGCCATTTCCTTTAGAATTCACCTGGGAGAGAGAAAGCTCTTCCATGACAGCCATGTCTGTATTTCTCTCCCTTACCCCCCACCCTCCCGTCTTTGGCATTCCGTCCCACCTGCAGCCATTGGGCCACTGTCTACCACAACCCTTCTTTGTCATTCCTTCCTCTTTGTTTGCACCGCAGACTGAACCCTCTCCTTCATTTTTCGTTGTTCTCTCTTCCATATTAAACCCACTTCAGTCACTGAAATTAAACCCACATGTTCTGCTATCTCTTCACTGACGTATACGGCAAATGTCCCATTTTTTTTATACCCTGCAATATACATGGATCTCATGTGTGTGTATATATTTATATTAATGATTTCCATTTACATATGTATATATTGAACAACAGTAACAGTTACTTTGAACATGGATTTTCAAGAAACATAACCTTCAATTGCCCATCGGCCGATGAAATCTACCTCAATTGCCCATCGGCCGATGAAATCTACCTCATGTTAATGGGATAACATAACATCATTGGAGTAGAGGTAGTATTGTATGTCATTTACTTATTCATTAAATATATAACAATCGTGGATAGATACACATACGTATATGTATCCAATGAAGAATGGTTGGTGGAAAGCTGCTTAGGCATGTTGCTTACTGGTGAAAGCTGTCATCAGCCCTGTTTTTGTGAAACCAAATTAGAGATAACATGTTGCAGAGAACACTGTTTTAAGCTCCTACTATAAAGCTAGGGAGGAAGTTTGAGCGAGAAAGAGAATAGGTCTCACCTCTCAGATTACCACTGAGTTCTTCTTTCCTCCTGTTCTTCTTCTTGTTTCCTGTCTCACTATTATCCCACTATGTTTTTGTGTCCGTTCTGAAGGATGTTGCCGGTGGGTTATAGAGGGAGTAATAGAGGAAAAGGGAAAAAAGAGGTGTTTTCTGGCTAGTTGTAGGCAGAAAACAATAAGGAATGGATTGTGAGAGAGAAACGAGGGAAAGGAGATTAAAGGAGAAGATTTAGGTAAGGTTTATTTTTGGTTGTGAAGGTTGTAGAAATGGGTTACATTCAAAAAAAGGAAAAAAAAAGAAAAAAAAAAAAGAAAGAAAGGAATGAGGCAATGGAAAAAATGGTGAAAGAAAGTGAGTAATTTTTTTTATTGATTTTTGATAAACAAGTAACGAGAGACAAGATCGAACAACAACACTGTGATTGTCAAAGAACAACGAAGGACACAGAAACATAGTGGCTGTATGGGAGGAGAAACCACCTGAACTTGTGTGGTGGATTTGTGTGGGGGAGGCGGATGAGTCACAAGATGCCCAGATCATTCGCATCTGGGTGAGAGACGGAAGTGACTGTCTGACGGCGATCTTCGTCCAGGATGAACGCCTCTACTACAAAGTGGCTGTATGGGAGGAGAAACCACCTGAACTTCTGCCAACCATGGACAGCTTTGAAGGTGGAGATGGTTCCCATTTGTTGGAGGAAGATTGGTGGAAGATGATGTCGAAGGGCCACCAAGGTGTTGAGGAATTCCAAAGATGGAAAGATGACCGGAAGATGCTGATGATGGGCCATCGTGAAGAGCGTAGAAGGAGTGGAGTGCACACTCGGGCAGCGCGTGGAGATGGTGATGATGTTGGAAGGACACGTGGTTGGCATGCATCCACCCATTCGGATTACGGCCATTTGGATAAGGCTAAGGATCAGGTGAAGGCATTTTCAAATTTTAATTCAGGCAGCACGATGGCACGTGACTGGCTTTCACAATCTGGCTGGGCTGGGCCAGGCCGAATGAGAGAAATTCTTCGAGTGCAGACTCCAAAGGTAGCAAGCCCATGAACAGGTGGTCTGGTGCATTTCGGCCCAATCACAATCAGCCCATGAAAGGATATTATAAAAGAAGACAGGATTCCCAGTTGGACCAGGCTTATAATGGGCCGAGAGAGCTAGGCTTATAATGGGCTGAGAGAAAAGGATAAGCTTTCTCTTTTAGATCAAACAAGGAGGCCCAAAGCTCAATCTCAGAGTTATGGACTGTGTTCTAGGGCTAGGGCGGTCAAACCCTTTTGGCCTAATTTAAGTTACTCATTTGGGCCACTTCAATATGTATATTTGACCTGGCAATGGTTTATATGAGGAACAATTGAGAAGAACTAACTCCTTGAACCAACTCCGTCCACAATCTCCTGGCGATACAACAGCTCCAAAAAGCCAATGGCCTCCTCAATCTCCCAAACTAGACTTCGAATTTCTGCAACTGTCATATACTTTTCTTTGTTTGACGAGGTTATCCGGTTATCGTCACACATCTGCCTATGTGCATCAAGCCTGGTAAAATCTCTTTGGGCCGGTTGGTTCATGGGAAAGTGGAACTCAGGATGTCCCTTCCTAGTGTATCAGCCCAAGCCACTGGTTGGAATTGTTTGTCTCTCTCATAAACTTAGGGGAGGTCAGAGTAATTCACCCTTATTGTAGTACAAATTTTCATATATATATTTAGCTAAATAAGGTTTTGTTTGCTATTCTTTCTTTAGGAAGATGATAGTTATACCACTGTTGTGCTTCTACTGGTACACTATTTGCTAATTTGTTGTGATAACCATTGTACATTTGGCGGTTGACATCAACAATTTAATTGGCACTACTATGATAAGTTTCATTTTTTTTTTTTTGGCCAATAAGTATAAGTTTCAACTAATTTTCCTATAAAAGTAATTATAAATGTTTAAAATTTTTGCTTTATACTCTATTCTAAGTGATTCGTTGATATCCAAAACTTAATTGGCAATATTGTGATAACTTTCATCTACGTCTTCTATAATTGTTTTCTAGTAAGGTACATTTTGTATAATTTTATTGTGAACTCCTGAAAGAATTTGCTTTGTAATCCATTCTAAGTAATTCTGTGTTCTGTGCAGCAAGCCAAACTGCAGGTTATTGGTTACTCATGATGACTATAGCATGATGTCCAAACTTCCCGGGAAGAGAACTTCTGTGGTGACAATACTTAGGAATCCAATTGACCGTGTTTTTAGCACTTACGAGTTTTCAGTGGAGGTAGCGGCTAGGTTTTTGGTGCATCCTAACTTAACATCCGCCACACGAATGGCTGGACGCTTGCGTTCAAAGACCAATGGAGTAAGCACCCTGGATATTTGGCCTTGGAAGTATTTGGTTCCATGGATGAGAGAGGACCTATTTGCTAGGGTATGTTTGTTTTAATATTTATTGCTGGAAGCATTGCATCAATCCTTTTCCCCCTTTCCCTCGAGTGCTATTTGTTGTATACCCCCTCTTAAAGAGAATCCATAAGGTCAATAAATAAAGATATCAGTGGGAGAGGGGAAGGCTTCTTCTTCTTCTGAAGAGATGACTAATCAAAGATGTCACAGAATGACAACATATGGTTGTTCACTCCTAGTTAACATGCGAAATATTTCCTTTGCTTTATTCATAAATGAGTAATATCTTGGATTCTTTGTGGCTTTTAGAGGAGAGCCAAAACACCTTTTGACATTGAAGGATTTTACTTTAATGTAGCCGTCATGTTCTTCCCATGCAGAAAACTTTTCACAGCATGTGCCCAAGCTAGGTAATTCAGACCATTCAACTTTTTTGAGGCAATAGATTTAGGCATTTCATCATCCTTAACTGCTGTTGGTTTTTCATCAGCCATGGCAAACCACTGTCAAATGGAATTGAGTGAAGAAAAGAACCAAAACTAACCAAAACAATAGTACTGGGAACTATTCAGTGAAGGAACAAACCCAAAAAGAAAAAGAAAAAGAAAAAAAAAAAAACACTGCTGCCCACCTTCAAACCAACCAAATCCATAAAAAATGACACTAATCTCTTCATAAATCAAACAAAAGAATCCCAGAGGCTTAGTCGCACCTCTCTGTGTGAATTTGAGCCAAAACTCACCGAAAAACAGATCAACCAAAACCAGCCAAAAATTAAAAAAATACTTCAAAATTAGAAAACACATATCAGATGATCTCAAAAAATTACACAAAAATCACCATAATTACTAGGAGGAGAAGGTGATCCAAGAGATGGGTTCGCTACATGCTGACATGTTCATGATAACATCAGCATGACGATGATAATGTCAGCAACTCAATTTGAGGATGCTGATCTCCCAGTGACTTCCAAATAACTTTGAGGGAGTTTAATGGATTTGGTTGCGTCGGATTGATTGCTCTGATACCAACTTAAGAGTATAAAATACTGAAAATTAGGGTTAGATGAGAAGAGGATGAGTAAGCGTTTCGAGAAAGGTTTAGGGTACACGATGAATTGATCTGCCCCTTTCAAAGGTCAAATATTTATATGAGACAAATACAATAATACCCCTATGTTAATATTACCAAAGGAGGTGATAACTAATGTTAAAAAAAAAAAATAACTCTTAACAGTTATTACGGAATTGAAAGTCAGGTGGATGAACCAGGGAGCAAGAAAAAAATGTATGTTAAAGAAATTAAAATTAACCAATGTATGTAGTTAGAAATGTTGTCACAATGAAAACTGTTAAAAAAAAGTTTATTTTCTATGATTTTTCTTTTATTTAATACATTTTCTTTTTAGATAAGTTAATACAGTTTTTAAAGGCTAGGTGATATATGGCAGGAGAGCTGGAAGATTTTAGGTTTTAAAACCAGATCATAATATTTTGGACAGATCCTGGTCAACTTGAGTTATGATTATTTTGATATGAAGTGACCCGTTTTCAATAAACAAGACATTTGTGTATAAAAATATTGTTATAACAAGCGCAACGAACCCAAGTTGAATCAAGAATCACGACAGAAAAGTAAACACGCCACACAAAGATTTATACGTAGTTTGGCAACAGCCTACGTCTACGGTTGGGATCCGGCAAAAGTTTTCACTGTGTGTCAAATTGGAGATTACAAGTTTTCAGCCCCTCGCTCTGTTTCTGTATGAATTTCAGAGTCTCTCTCTTACATCACTCCAAACCCTAAGCGCCCTTATATATTGGGCTACAAGAGACTAATTAGGGTCCACGACCCATGAGCAAAAAACGGGTCAAAAAATTTTCAACTGGTCATTGGGTTATCGGCACCAAATTCAGGCCACAATATCACAAATATTATTATTATTATTATTTGGGTAAAAAAAAAAATGGGGCCAGCGGGTTAGATGCTGATTGACTCGTCCATTTAATACCCCTACCCGTTTATCACGTGTCACTAACCTGCCCGTTTATGACCCGGCCCAAACCCGCCCATCTGCCACCCTAATTTTTATGTTTTTTTAGTAAGTTCTTATATAAGAACTGCTGCATTATTACTCTTGGTAAGTCTTTTTTCTTATACTTTAATGCACAGAGAGATGCCAGAAAGCAAAGAGGCCCATTCCATGTTAAAAGCAATGACTCATACAATATGGAAGACATTGTAATGCCATTACATGAATACATTAATGACCCTATAGCTCGGGACATCATTCACAATGGAGCCACGTTCCAGGTATTTCATCTTATACCTATATTCGCATGTTATCTTCACATGTATTTGCATGTTATTTGATTTTATTATGACAATATAAGCATGGCATAGGATTAGAAAGAAACTTTCCCTGGAGCTGCTAATGGAATTTCTGTAGTCATTAAACTAATTATGTAACCTTATTGACCCCTGATTTTCCATCATGTTGTCTTATGCTTACAGATTTGGATTTGCAGTGTATGGTTATTCATTCAATAAGCTAAGGCTTTGACTTCTGATTGTATTGTGAAATCTAGTCATTATGGTTCGAGCTTATTATATGGAATTCTGAAACAAATACCCTAAAACAAGCTGCATAAAGTTATTAGAATGGTGGAGGGATTAGGATTAAAGGTCAAGGATAAAAATTTTAGGGTTTGGGGATAAACAATAGATTAGTAGAAGGGCTCATTGTGGTAATTAATTTTTAACAGCTGATAGGATTTAAAACAAAAACTGTGTGTGTGTGTGTGTGTGTGAGAGAGAGAGAGAGAGAGAGAGAGAGAAGATGACTTTAAAGATATTCTATCCTTTTTAAGGTTTTGCTAGAGAAACTAATGGAGTCTTACCATCAAAGCAGAACACACACTTGCACATATTTATTATTAATCAATTTTTTTTATTTTTATTTTTTTTTATTTTATAATTTTTGTATACAGGCTTTTTTTTTTTGTACAAGTGTACTTCACACAATTTGAGTTAGAAACTTCTAGTGATTATCTAAGCCAATTATGACAACTCAATCCAAACTTATGAAAAGAACTTCACAAATCTTGTTACCTGACATATGACTAAAGGCCCGTTTGGTAGCCGCTTTTGCTTTGACCCGAAGCAGAAGCAATGTTTTTGCTTTAGAGTGTGTTGAACACTATTTTGAAGCTTGTTTGGTAACGCAAATTTGCTGTAAGATTTTTGGAAGCAAAAACATGAAAGCATGTATGGTTAAAAGTGCTTTGTAAGTTTGAAAATTTGAATGACTAGTTAAAAATGTCATTTTAGAATTTTTTTTTTTTTAAAACAGTGCTTTGCTACAGTGCGGAAGCAAACAAAAGCATCATTTTTATGCTTCCGATTTTGGCTTCAACTTCGGAAGCGCTTCGGTACTATTCAAATGACAACAAACATTACCAAACATGCTTTGTGCTTTTGCTTCGCTACAGTACACTAGCAAAAGCATTAGCCGAACGGGCTATAACTTAGATGCCTCACAAAAATACTCCAAAATAACTCCAATCCGCATACTTATCAAAATACCTCTCTCAGTTTACTTTAATTATAAATTGTGGGTTCAACTACACCCATCTAAAAGTACTAACGTAGTTCTCGATAATGTGATGACAATGGCAGGACATGTATATCACTTGATACCAAATTCTCTTATTAACTTTAGGGTAAAGTGCAATAAACCCCCCTCAACTATACCTTAAGTGCAACTAACCCCCCTCAACTACAAATAACCCCCCTCAACTATGGTCTTGGTGCAGTCTTAGGACAGAGAAGGTTTTTCCGGTTATCTCCTATCACCGGAAATTGGAAAAAGTCTATTTTACCCCTCATAAAAAGGGTGCCACTTCACAATAAAAATGCCACCGTTTCCTTCAGCTACTTAAATGAAATTCTTCATTCTCTTTCTTTCTTTTTAACGAGAAATTATTGCCCAACTCCTCCAATTTAATCTTCTGATCCTCAGCACCATAACCATTGAGAGAATTATTTGCGCAATCGAGGGAAGAAGGTAGAGATCGAGAAGAGTTACCTTAGTCAGGCGACGAGTAATTGTGACTATCCAAAACAGCAGAACCACAATTGCCTGAACCCTGAGACGATGCAGGCCCAAAAATTTGGTCGTTGCGAATTTCAGAGTCGGGTGAGGGGTAATCCAAAACCCTAGCAGCGGCGATGGCAGCATTCAAGCACTTATTGTTTGATTCATGCAAAGATTCGCGATTGAATCCACCTGATTCCGGTGATGGAACGTTCAAGAACCTAGAAACATCGGAGCAGTGATCCTGAGAAAATCCTGACGACGGAGAATTAGAAAGATTGAAGGTGGGATCGGTAGAAATTGGATGGCCAGGATTGAGGGTAGCGGAGTGATTATTGGAACCCTAGGAAAGGCGTGGCCGGAAAGGGTGGAGATATCCGGCGGTGACCTGGTATATCCCATGGACGGCGACCGTCCTCCACAGCTTGCTGGGTCGCTACAGTAGCGACCCCATCCTCCAATATGTAGCAACCCAAAGGTCGCTACCATCCACGGTGAGAACCAGGTCACAAAAACGACCTGGTCATATTCTTTCACGGTGACACAAAAATCGCTGTGGTGTTCCGATCAAGGCTGTCGCCGAAGTTCATGGTGTAGACGTCATTCTCAGTTTGGTGTAGAGATGAAGCTCTGCCTTTTGGTCTTCAATGGAGATAGAGAAGAGAGAAAATTGGGTGAAGAGGAATTAGGGATAAGGGTTGAATGGTCATTTAATTTAAATGTGGTACTCAGGGACTCAATTTAATGGCCAAAAAATTTGCCGGTGGTCGAATTGGGTAAATTGCCACCAAACCCCTAAGTTGAGGGGGGTTAAATGCAACTTTAGAAATTCAAGGGGGTTTTGTGCTCATTGAGGTATAATTGAGGGGGGTTTGTTGCACTTTACCCTTAACTTTATTAACAATGAATAATAATGAAAGTGCCTTTTTTTTCAAAGAAATATCGAATTGATGAGAATATAAGAAAGATGAGAGTCCTGATCACCATTGGTATTGTTAGAATATTCCCACCCATAGTGGTGGATATATTTCTTAGCAGTTAAAATGCTTAAATGAATAACATGTCATCCAAAAAAAAAAAAAAATAGAGATTAAATGAATAAAGGAAGTTCTAGTATTTGATCTTTTTGTTCCATTTTTGGAACAAATTTGTTGATAAATACCACGATGTTTAGAGAATTGGAATGTTAGTGGAGGTGGTGAATTGGAGGATAAGTTTCATAAGTAGTTATGGTCATTTGTATATAAAAGAATTGGAGAGGGAGTTTTTAACAATCGTTCCTTGTCACGGCATTTGGCTAGTCCAATAAAAGGATAGGGATACATTGGTTAATAACACTTTTCGGGTGTAAGGGGTGAACGAAGCCCTCTCACATTGACGGTGCCCTGTAATAAAATAATGGGTACTTGTAAACCTAACATGATAAGCATACAGGTATTCTTCTCATTCACAATTTTGCAATGATAAACTTGTTCAGGTTGTGTTCAATATTCTGCAATTTAAAAATGAGATGTATACTATGGTGTTGAAAAGTCACTTAGGGAGGTCTTTTCAAATTCAGTCTTATATTAATTTAGAGGTAACTAAGGGTTAACCAAAGCCTCTCACATCGACAGTTCTCAGTAATAAAATAATGGGTCCTTTTAACCTAACACGTTAAGCATACAGGTTATTCTCATTCACAATTTGCAATGATAAACATGTTTAAGTTGTGATCAATATTCTGCAATTTAATAATGAGATATATACTATGGTGTTGAAAGGTCACTTAGGGAGGTCTCTTTAAATTCAGTATTTATTAATTTAGGGATAACTTGAATGGTTGTCTTGTTGTCTCTCAGTATACTAAGGACATTTATTGGCTGATTTACATACTAATAATTATAATTAAAAATCATAATTGATAAAGAAGTGTATAAAAAAATAATATGAAAATGTATATAAAAAATAAAATGGCTTACACTTTCAATAGTAGTATAGATTGCTGAAGTAGTCCAGTGCAGATTTGACATGGGTTTGATATGAATCATTGATTTTTGAAATTCTCTTATAATTTTTCTCATTGTCTGCGGAATTAACTTTAAAGTTTCAACTTCTGGCTAATTGTTTTTATAAATAGGTTGCAGGACTGACAAACAACTCTTATCTAGCTGAATCACATGAAGTGCGTCACTGTGTACTGCAGTATCGGACTCTTGGTGAATATGTGCTTGAAGTCGCAAAAGTAATGACATTAGATTCCCTAATAATGAGAAATATTGTGATAATGTTGTTTCTCCGATATACCGATTTTCTCCTTATTGATGCAATCATAATAGATCCTTGTAAACCTTGCAGAAGAGGTTGGATGATATGTTGTATGTTGGGCTAACAGAGGACCACAGAGAATCTGCTACAATGTTCGCAAATGTAGTTGGTGCACAAGTGATTTCTCAATTGATAGCGTCCAACTCTAGCATGGAGCTTGCAGCTTATAACAAATCGGGTCAGTAATGCAAAATACTCTGTTGGTCAGACATGCACTTTAGTGGCAAAAACTTACATAATATAGTTAATAAAATCATATAATTCATTCATTATGTGGAGAATGGAAAGTTCTAACCAGTTATTTTCCAGAAATGGTGGGGTGGAAAGCATAATCTTGAGGACTATTGGGTTAATTTCAATTATCACTATAAAAGGGAAAAATGCTCTTGTTTTTCATTTTAAACTTAGATGTCCGTTTTACTAGAAGAAAAGTTAGAAATACTGAAATAATTTTTTGGGGAGTCGGATTGTTGGTTCTGGGTTCCTAACTCGCAGGGTCGTTTCGAGGTTAGGTCCTTTTTCAGGTGCCTTTCGATTGTACCCGGAGACCCTTTCCCCTGGAAGTCTATTTGGCGTTCTAAGGCTCCCCTCAAGGTCGCCTTTTTTGCTTGGACTTCCGTCCTGGGTAAGATTTTAACCCATGATAATTTGAGGAGGAGGAATCAGGTGGTGGTCAATCATTGTTATATGTGTTTGCGTGATGAGGAGACAGTTGATCACCTCCTTTTACATTGCAGCATGGCCAGAGACTGTTGGGATTTGATGCTTGGATTATTTGGGGTCCATTGGGCTATGCCTTGTTCCTATAGAGGGTTGATTGAGGCTTGGAGAGGCGTCTCCGTTGGGGCTCTCATTTAGGATGCTTGGAGGGCTACGTCTCTTTGTATTTGGTGGTGTATTTGGCTCGAGAGAAATAGGAGATATTTTGATGGAAAAAAGAAGTTTGTTTCTATGCTTAAGTTCACTATTATTTCTACTCTTTTTTGTTGGGTGTCAGGGAGAGATTATAGATCTACGGAGGAGATTATTGTTTTTTTGGCCTCTTTGAAGGTCTAAGGCGCCCTTTGGCCCTTTTGTTTCTTTGGGCTCCGCTCCCCTTTTGAGCATTTTTAATAAAATCTTATCAAAAAAAAAAATTTTACTGGCGTGCTTGTCCTGGTTATAGTGATGGAGCCAAGAATTTACTCAAGTGGGGGCAACTTTGGCAATAATAATAGAATTGTGAAGTAAAATAACAAATACAAAAGCTTAAATATTGGTTGATAGTATTTCCATCTAGTACATTTGCAATTATCTTGATGAAGTTTCATGTGTTTGAAAGTGTTGGAGGATAATTCATTTCTTGAAAAAGGGGATTAGGTTCTGCGTTCTAACTTAGTGTTGAGAAATCAACTATAAGAGGCTTTTTGAACCCTTCCTTTTAGTGTTTCGTTCTTGGAGGGAGATTGAGAGTGTCAAGAAAAAGCATGGTAATTGGGAGAGAACTTGGAGTATGGAGAGCTGCAGAGTTGAGAGAGAAAAAGAGTTAGAGAAGCCTTCTGTGAAAAAAAAAAAAGAAAAAGAAAAAGAAAAAAGAACAAAAAGAAAAAAAGAAAATGCAACTAGAATAAAAAGGTTTTTGAGAATTTTGAAGGGGGCACTGTTTGAACTACGAGAGATACAAGAGTTCTATATACATAATCAAAATAAAGAAAATTTGAGTTGGGTTATCTTCCTCCATTGAACACTTAGCTTCATCCCTGCCTCGGTTGTTAATATGTAGAACGGATTTGGTATGGGAAATGGTTAGAACGGCTTTGGAGATTTGGGGTGGAAAGGTCTTAAGCTTTGGAGGAGGGTTACCTGCAGCAAGTTCGGCTAGGGTAGAGGAGTGTGGTGTTCTCTTGAGGTGAGATCTCCGGCAGGGGGTGGGGGTTTGGAAAGTCATCAGGAAGGGCTAGGATGAGTTTTCCAAACATATTCAGTTCAGGGTTAGGAGTGGGAATTATGCCAACTTCTGGGGAGATGTGTGGTGTGGGAATTGTCTGCTAGCATCTACCTTTCAGAGACTCTCTAGGATTGCTGTGGACAAGGAGGTTATGGTGGTCCACTGCTATCGCCTTGATGTGTGGTGTGGGAATTGTCTGCTGGCATCTACCTTTCTGAGACTCTCTAGGATTGCTGTGGACAAGGAGATTATGGTGGTCCACTGCTATCGCCTTCATAGTGGGAGGTTTATTTGGGATGTTCGGTTTGGGAGGTCCTTTCAGGTTTGGGAATTGGGAGATATTTGCAAGCTCTTGGGCTATTTTATAGCCAGGAGGTGGCTGGAGTGGGTCCTGACAAGTGGCGGTTGTTGGCCTCTAGTCAGGGGACATTATCAGTGTGTTTCTTGCTATAGGAGTTTGGTGGACACTCGTGGGCCTTCATTCCCTTGGAAGGCAATGTGGCGCACTAAGGCCCCCTTGAAGGTGGCCTTGCAGGGCAGCTCTGGAGAAAATATTGACGATTGATATTCTTGCAGGCAGGGACGGAACCAGGATGGAAGGTAAGGGCAAAAATAAATTTTGGGAGGCAATATTGCATTTTTTTAGTAATTTTAGGGGTGGGGGGAGGATGTAATATTTCATGGGTATATTACTGAAAATGAACAAATTATAAGGGTAGATTACTAAAAAAAAAAAAAAATTCAGTGGGGCCAATTGCCCTCACTGACTTCAATGTAGATGCGTCCCTTCTTGCAGGTGGCTGTATAGTGAGGTGACAAGTCTGGGATGCTTGGAGGGCGGCGCCCCTTTGTGTTGGGTGGGTCTTTAGTGGGAGTGGAACCTTTGTTGTTTTGATGGAGCTGAGGGTCTGATATGTGTGCTCAAATTCTCTATTCTTAATTCCTTATTCATTTAGGTACAGGGTTGGTAGTGTAAAACTTTGAAGGATATGGTTGATTTTGTGGATACGTTGAGAGTATAGAGGGGGGATTGTCGGCCCTTTGTTTTTGAGTGGGATTCGCTCCCTTTTGATTGCTCTTAATGAAATCTTACACACACGTGTGTGTGTGTGTGTGTGTGTGTAATAATAATAATAAAATTATTTATGCATCAGTCATTTATTTTCAACCAGCTGTAGATCAGTCATTTTTATTCAGCCTGATATATAATTGCATTTGACGTCGTGTTGAAAGGCAAGAGTAACTGTTTGGCTTCTCTGCTTCTCTTTGATGGCTTCATTTGGCTGGTCTTCCCCTTCAATGCCATCAACAATTTTGGATTATATTTGCTTCTGTTCCATTGGAAATGTTTACATGGCTTGTGCGTGTACACCCACACCCACATATATAGGTTGTAAATTTCTGATCTTCAAATTTTCAGTTTTTGAAATTTTGAAGTTCGCAAATTGCTCACCTACAATGTCAGCAATTGTGTTAGAAATTTTTTTCTTCTCTTCTATTGCAACTGTATCGTTTTGTATATGTACATATATAATTTTGGGAATTGGAAAATTTTTCAAATTTGCCGGTATATATTAATAAAATTTGTGGTTAATCAATTTCCATTAAAGTTTATTTATATAAACATGTAAATCAATTTCCGTTTATATGAAATCACTTGCATTACATTAAAGTTTTCTAAAAAATGCTCTACTCATATTGCAGAACAAAGCTCTTCGTTTCCAGATTCCGAGTCTGATACTAATGATCATCTGGTAAAAATTGGTAACTTCTTGTTATACAATAAAATGAAATCCTTGGTATTCAAACCAAGTTGCATTATTAATGCTTCATTTTTCCTGAGGACATTACAGAGTACTAGCTCAGGCCCAAAGGCAGAGAAAATGCCTTCAAATGAAAGTGAAGGAACAAATGGAAATGTATGCCCGCTTAGTGCTGTAAATCTGACCTTATATATCATTATTGTGATTTTATCATTTCCTTCGGAAAAAGTGACTGAGATCCCCTCTACTACCACATCAGATGACCGTGGAAAAACTTATGGAAGCTTATGGGACATGTATTTCTACCTTACGAAAGGCCCAATCACAACGGCGTACATCTTCTTTGAAGAGAATCTCCCCAACAAACTTTACGAAGGAGGTATGCTATAGGACTATCCGAGTATTCTATTTCACCTTCATCATCGTGTGTGTTTGCACTTTGCTCCTTCTATTGATCATTGTTTGTCTTTGCACTTGTATTCCTCTTGATCTTCTTCAGTTTAAAACATGTTAATTTGGCTAAAGAGGTGGTAATCTTGTATGGGTTAATAATATGGAGATAGCAACTCTTACTATGAAATGATTTTCGCCCTTAGATGAAGATTTGATGGAGGAAATATGAAGGTACCTGAGGCAAATGATTTGTGAATATTTGGTCCATGATTCGTTTCCCTTTCTTGAGTAGAGTGGGAGAGGGTTCTGTAGAGGTCCTTAATTGCTATTTGGTCCAAAGACCCCAAACCAACGAGACCAATATGTGAAGTTTGTTTCAATTGTTTGGCAAAAGAAAACAACACAACTCCCGAAAATGTAATCATTAAGTCTGTCAAATCACGAGATTAAGGTGATCCAGAATTCCATAAAACAAGGATCATACCCCTAAGTGAATGCGAAGTGTTTATGCTTTGGTTTTAGTAAATTTGTCTTGCATTTGCCTGGATGATCACACCTATAGTTCCTGTTTGTAATTTGGAAACCAGAAGGCAAGTATTTCTTGGTAAGACTTGCATAGATACCGGTCATATGCTAAGTCTTCAACTTTATTGTGCATATTACCACCCTAAATTACTAGTTCTGTAGATGACCTTTTTATATAAATATGAACAGAATGCATTCAAATTCCCGAATTATGTAGAAAGAGAAGTGCTCAAATGAATTCAAGGACACCCGAAATGGCATAACCAAATGAGGAGAAAGACTTTCCCGTGTCCCTTATCTGGTTAGTCCAACCAGGCAAACAAGTCTCCATGTTATTTCTTTGTAATTATTTGTGTGTGTTTGTCTTTGTGTGTGTGTCCCAACCACCACCCCACCCCCACCCCCCCCCCCCCCCCCCCCCCCCCCCCCCCCCCGCGTTTCTATTTTTGGGTGTGGGGAGGTGATACAAAATGCTGGTCAACCAACGTGCTGCATTATAAATTTTGGGAGTCATTCGTTGTAAGATATACGTAGGTTTTTTATATAAATATTCTGAGTTATGCACAAAACCGGTTTTAAGGATGGTAGCAGGATTCGATTTTGGGAGGAGACGTGTGGTCAATTGTTGTTAAGAGGAGGAGACATGAGGAAAATCTTAAGAGGAGGAGACATGTTGTGGTCAATTGTTGTTGCATGTGTTTGAGAAATGAGGAAACAAGTGATCATCTTCTTTTGCATTGCCCAGTTGCTTGGGACTGTTGGACTTTGATGTTGACTTTGTTTGGGGTTCAGTGGGCTATGCCCAGGTCTTCCAGAGGTTGTATAGTGGGGGCCCAAGCTCACGACTTCTGGAGGGTTACGCCTTTTTGTGTTTGGTGGTGCTTATGGCTCGAAAGAAATAAGCGATCTTTTGAAGGAAAGGAGACCCCTATTGGCGAGCTGAAATTCTCCATTATTAATACTCTTTTTTGTTGGGTTCTTGGGACAAATTGTAAATCCATGGATGAGATTGTTGATTTTGTGGACTCTTTGAGAGTTTAAAGGCCCTATTAGGGCTTGTTGTTTTGTGGGATGCGTTCCCCTTTTGAACGTTTTTCAATACATATGTACTTGTCAAAAAAGAGAATGAAACACAAAACTGTATACAATTAAAAATTTGAAGTGTCAAGGAGACAGTTATACACTCATCATATGTAACATTAAAGAGTAGAGGTTAGAGAATAAATTGAACTAGTGTCATCTCATTAAATTTTAGATCACAAATTCACAGATGTAGTTGAAAACTGTTTATATCCAACTTTCTCTCGTTTATTATGAACTATCTAAAAGAAACCAACTAAGTCCGCTATGAAAGAGTACCATATGTGGGGATCATCTCCTCCTTTTGTGCTTTCCAGCCATTTTTTATGTCAACCAGGAAAACCAAAAGCTATTATGTGGGCGACCATCTAAAGTCCATCTTTAATGGTCAAGCATTCCAAGCATTCATATATCACCTCAGAGCTCACATCCAATGGGTTCTTTTAACATGTAAGAAAGCATGAAGAAAAGAACATAAAAACAGATTCATGACATTGTAAAGTGAGATTTTAGATCTTGCAATATAGGCAAAGAAAGGCCTTAGAACTCCCAAATTTAACAAATGGAATGTTTTATAAACACTGATGGAATTGTAAAGAGAGAAATTTCTTGTTTCAATGCCAAGTGTATTTGAAAACGTTCAACCTTTCTCTTAATTAAAGGGGAATAAATAAAAATAAAAAAGTCTACTAATTTTAAGTTGTTTTCCAAGTTGGCTTAGTCGAGTAGGTTCATGTGGTAATATAACATGCATTGCATTCTCATTTGTGATACAATGGGATATTACATATTTGAAATCAGCAATGTGTACACTTTCTTTCGAACCACAGAATCTTTTTTACAAGGGCTCTCTCTCTCTCTCTCTCTCTCTTTCTTGATAAATAAAATGTATTAGAAAGCGTTTAAAAGGGGAACACATCCCAAGAGATATACAAGAAACCAAACAAAAGCCCTATGGACCCAAAGAACCCAAAAAGTCCACAATCTCAATATATAATTTCTCCCCATCACCTAACTAAAAAGAGAACTAATAATAACAAATTTTAGCGCCCCAATAGAGGTTTCCTCCCCATCAAAAGATCTTTTGTTTCGCTCTTTCTAGATGCTCCACCAAACACAAAGGGGGGTCACCCTCCAACAGACACGAGCTTGGCCCCCACCCTTTGGCCCCTCCAAATGTCAATCAATTCCCTTGAAGACCGAGGCATAACCCAATGGATGCCAAAAAGATCAAAAATAAAACTCCAGGAATCGTAAGTCATAGGACAATGCAAAAGAAGGTGATCCACAGACACTCTATCATTCTTATACATACAACACCAGTTGACTGTGATCTGTCTTTTCTTTCTCAAATTGTTCAGAGTCAGAATCTTACCTAAAGCCGCAGTCCAAACAAAAAATGCCACCCTGAGAGGAGCCTTCGAATGCCAAACCGTCTTCCACGGAAAACTGGAGCCATGAAAACTGGCAAGACAAAGGAATAAAGAATGGACATCAAACCGCCCCTGAGGACAAGGCATCCAAACCAAGGAGTCAGACCCTCTGCCATTCACATGTTGTCTATGCAAAAGATCCAAAAGGCCAAGGACATCCTCAAGTTCCCAATCCTGGAAAGAACGCCGAAAACGCACATCCCACGTAAGCCTTCTGTTATCAAGCCGATAACAGTCCACTACCATAGCATGTCTAACCGCGGCAATCCTAAAAAGTCTTGGAAACAACCGAGACAAAGGGCAATCCCCACACCAATAATCCTCCCAGAACCGAACATACCGAACATCCCTGGTCCCTGCCCTCCCGAACTTTGAACCTAATATGGTTAGACAATTAGTCCCAACCCTTGCGAATAAATTTCCACTCCCACGCCAGCAACAGATCTAATCGGCCTGGATGACCTCTTCTCTCCTGAGTCTCCTCCCCAAAGCGACACGCTATAACCCTCCTCCATAAGCGATGTCTCTCATTACCAAATCTCCATGACCACTTCCCAAGAAACACCCTATTAAAGGGGATCATCCTCCTAAGACCTAAGACCATGACTGCCCATTTGAAACGTCCTGCAAACATGTTCCCACCTGACAAGATGATACTTGAACTACTCACCCCTTCCATCCTAAAGAAAATTCCGTTGGAGATTCTCCAGTCTCTCAGCAACAGTGCACGGAATCTGAAAGAGGGATAGGAAGTATGTTGGGAGACTAGACAAGGTGCTTTTTATCAAAGTGACTTTCCCACCCTTCGAAAGATAATCCTTCTTCCATTTGGCCAATCTATTCTCGAAACGTTGAATCACTGAATCCCAAACATCCACCATCCTGGCTGAAGCACCCAAAGGAAAACCCAGATAAGTAATCGGAAAGGAACTCATCCCACATCCTAGAACCGTCATAAGCGAAGTCACCTCCGAAACCTCCCCCACAGGGACAAGCACACTTTTACCCATTTTAACTTTCAACCCTGACACAGCCTGAAAGCAGACCAGTACGCATCTTAAATATCGGAGTTGGGACTCATCCGCGTCACAGAAAACCAAAGTATCGTTCGCAAAAAGTAAATGAGAGATATCCATCTGCTGCCCTAAATCTGAGCCCATCCTGAATCCCCTGATAAAACCCAACTCCATTGCTCTCCTCATCAATCTGCTAAGGGCCTCCATAACAATAAGAAAGAAGAAAGGAGAAAGGGGATACCCTTGTCTCAACCCTTGAGAGCTTCCAAAAAAGCCGGATGGGGACCCATTCACCAGAATAGAGAATTTAACAGAAGAAATACAAGTCTCGATCCACTTCCTCCATCTCTCCCCAAAATCCATCCTCCCCAACAAATATAACAAGAAACTCCAATTAACATGAGCGTAACTTTCTCAATATCGAGCTTGCACAGAACTCCTGGAAAATCGCTCCTTAACCTAAAATCCACATATTCGTTGCCAATAAGAACGGAATCCAGAATTTTCCTTCCCCCAACAAATGCATTTTGAGACTCTGAGATGACACTGTCTAGAACCTCCCTCAATCTCAAGGCGAGAACTTTAGCAATAAGCTTATAAATGCAACCCAATAAACTTATTGATCTAAAGTCCATAACATCGGACACAACTCCTTTCTTAGGAATGAGAGCAATGAAAGATGCATTCAACGACTTTTCGAACCTCCCATTAGAATGGAACTCAAAAAAGGTACCGATCACCTCATATCTCATCGCCTCCCAGCTTTCTAACAAAAATCTCATAGTAAATCCATTCGGACCCAGAGGCTTATCATTGTTGCAACTCTTCAGTTCCCTCAATACTTCCTCCTCCGAAAAAGGATATTCCAAGCCATCCCTAATAATCGAAGAAATAGAGTCAAAGTGAAGGCCATCAAGATGAGGTCTCCACTG